TCTCTCTGGATAGGAACTAGAATACGACGTGAGACTAGATAGGAACTAGAATACGACGTGAGACTAGATACGAACTAGAATACGACGTGAGACTAGATACGAACTAGAATACGACGTGAGACTAGATAGGAACTAGAATACGACGTGAGACTAGATAGGAACTAGAATACGACGTGAGACTAGATAGGAACTAGAATACGACGTGAGACTAGATACGAACTATAATACGACATGAGACTAGATACGAACTAGAATACGACGTGAGACTAGATACGAACTAGAATACGACGTGAGACTAGATACAAACTATAATACGACGTGAGACTAGATACGAACTAGAATACGACATGAGACTAGATACAAACTAGAATACGACGTGAGACTAGATACAAACTATAATACGACATGAGACTATAGATACAAACTATAATACGACATGAGACTAGATACGAACTATAATACGACATGAGACTAGATACAACTATAATACGACGTGAGACTAGATACGAACTAGAATACGACATGAGACTAGATACAAACTAGAATACGACATGAGAAGATACGAACTAGAATACGACATGAGACTAGATACAAACTAGAATACAATATGAGACTAGATACAAACTATAATACGACGTGAGACTAGATACGAACTAGAATACGACATGAGACTAGATACAAACTATAATACGACATGAGACTAGATACGAACTATAATACGACATGAGACTAGATACGAACTAGAATACGACGTGAGACTAGATACAAACTATAATACGACATGAGACTAGATACGAACTATAATACGACATGAGACTAGATACGAACTAGAATACGACATGAGACTAGATACGAACTATAATACGACATGAGACTAGATACGAACTAGAATACGATGAGACTAGATACGAACTAGAATACGACATGAGACTAGATACGAACTAGAATACAATATGAGACTAGATACGAACTATAATACGACGTGAGACTAGATACGAACTAGAATACGAAATAAGACTAGATACGAACTAGAATACGACGTGAGACTAGATACAAACTATAATACGACATGAGACTAGATACGAACTAGAATACGACATGAGACTAGATACGAACTAGAATACGACATGAGACTAGATACA